GCAGGGGTAACTGTACCCCAAATTCTTAAAAGCAAAACTCATGTCACGTGTATGTATTACACCACAGTGGGGTGAAAACTGTAGGAATGGTGGTCCCTGCTGAGGCCACAAAGCCTGCCCAGTTTCAAGGAGATAAGTGCAGGGGTTTGGGGGAAACTGCACCTCAAGCTGCAGACAAACAAAACTCATGACATGGGTGTCACTGTGTGTTAAGGCTCAGCAGGGTGAAAGCTGCAGGGATGGTAGACCCTGCTGAGGCCACGAAGCCTGCCAGCTGTCAAGGAGATAGGTGCAGGGCTTCTGGGTTCTGTGGCCCTGCACCTCTAGCTGCTGACAGGTAAAACTCGTGTCATGGGTGCTTGTGCAACTGTGTCCATCTTGGGGCATGGGGGGACGGGGCTACTGCAGGCCTGGCTGCTAAGCTACTGTGTTACCAGTTACCAATTAATCATGATTCACTCAGGGACCAGCTCAATACACAGTACCTTACTACTACATAACTACATAACAAGTTAATGAGCATGGATTAACACCTACAAAACCACAGACTAAGGAGAGGAAATAATCAATACAGACAATCAGCTGCCCCAAGACTGACATAGTCAGTTGCACCTATCTTCTTGAAACTTGGCAGGCTTTGTAGCCTCAGCAGTTTTGACCCCACTGTGGCTTAACACATACACGTGACATGAGTTTTGCTTTCAAGAATTTGGGGTGCAGTTCCCCCCAAACCCTTGCACCTAGCTTCTTAAAACTTGTCAGACTTTGTTGCCTCACCAGGGGCTACCATCCCTGCATATTTCATCCAAATCAGACAAAAAACAACAAAGTTATAGATATTTCATTGATTCCCCATTATACCCTATGGCCAGATCTCCAAAGTGGCTCCGAAGTGGTTTGGAAGCTCTGAACTGATTCAGGAAGCCTAACAAAGCCAGCACTTGGATCCGGACATGCTGTTTCAGCTTCTCCAGATCCAAAGCACAGTCCGAAGCCTTGTACAGCCCTACTATAAACATATCACTGCTGATGGGCCAACTTGCTGTACCTGGGGCAGGTGCTCTCATAAATGACAATCATCTCCAGCAAATGAGAGTAGAATTTCATATCTGGGAGCAAGGACATTTTGACTGCTGTTGTTCACTTCCAGCCCCCCTAGTCAATTAACTTAGTTGTTTGAACCTTCAGCATGATGGAAAGCAGGAAAAAAATTCACTATCCAACAGCCATTGACTCTACTTTGTGACCTCTAGCAAGAGTAGGTAACATGGAATATCAAGTGTAAAAACAAGAGTTGAAATGTTTATTACCAGTAATAAAGCTACTGGTTTTTTTTCAATAGTGCTGAAGTACCTTTCTCTCATTAATTTGAGGCCTTCCTGCCACCAACTTAGGAATTTTCACTATTTTCATACATGGCTTGTTCAGCCTTTAGCTTAATTGTTTTTATGTGCATGCTTTGTTTTGGCTCGTTTTGATTTGTAACAGCTTTTCTATTGTTTAAAAGATCAAAATAGATAATTAGGCTCCATCTTTTAAAATACTATGCAACAAGAATAAAGCTAGGGAGAAGTGCTTTTGGGCCATGTTACTGAAAAATCTCAGCTTTTCCCTTTAATAATTCACAGTGCATTTTCAAAAGGAACAGCAGCATTCACTTTGTGTCAGTCTTTGGTTCACATCAGAAACAGCCCAATGAAGCCACAGTCTTTGCCTTTTCTCAGCTGCTTCTGAGCAGAGACAGAAGCAGAAGTTAAACCGTTCATTTGCCCATAATTTGCCACCTACCTTTGGCTGTTCTGGGAAAACAGCCAAACAATGTTGCATGCCTGTTTCTGACTAATGCATGGTGGGAAGGAATGAAAAACCACACATGAAATATTTTTGAACGTGACAATAACCTTAAACACTTCCAATCCCTATAAACGTAGCAGCAGTGATAGGGAAAGTGTGATTGCTGGGAAATAAGCAACTATGTACATTGAAAGAAAAAAAAGCACACAACTGCAGAACAATAAATATGCACAATTTAGACTTGCATGGATTGAAGCAACTTCTCCTTAGCTTCTTCCCTTTGCAGAGATGAAAAAAAACCAACATTCAGCATCAGGTTGTTACTGGCAAAAGAATTGCAGTCATATATACTGGGGGTGGCCAACCTGCCCCATGGGTGCCACAGGCATCATGGCCAGCTTCTGTGTGGCACGTGGAAGATCAAGCAGGGGACAAGCAGCACAGTGGCAGGTAGGGCAGGAAGCAGAAAGCACAGCAGCAAAAAAAGCAGGGAGCACAGGGAAAGAAGCAGAAAATGGAGCAGTAGATCAGACAGGAAACATAAGGTAGGGAACAGAAAGCAGAGCAGGAAGTTGGGCAATGAAGGGGATCAAAGTGACACTCAGGGAGGGTACAGGGCTAATTTGTACTACACCTGCCAGAAAGGTTGGCCCCCACTAAGACACACAATGGCTTAAAGTTGTTAAAAATAGAACTGTCTTATCTATTCTGGACTAGAGATGTCAAACATACAGCCCACAGGTCAGATCCAGCCCATGAAGCCACTCTTATCCAGCCTGCCGGACTACCAGCTCCGCTGGCAGAAGTGGCCTGCTGCAGAACTGTGATCACCGGTAGGAGGGTGAGCGAGGGCTGACACAGCCCTGTTGTCTCTCTCTGGCTGCTTTGTCAGCTGCCACCACCACAGCCCTAGATGCTAGCCCTCTCTAAGTGGCCTGTGTTGGAGCCAGAGCTGGAGCCACCATTGTGGCAGGGGGCATACAGCAGCTGCGGCTCTGGTTCTGGCATAGGACATGCAGCACCGGAGCCCCAGCTCTGGCCTGGGGCACATGGCGGGGTCTGAAACAGCTTGTCACATACTCCTGTCAAAAACCAAAGCTGCCACCCACACATGCTCTGATCCAGAGCTGGAGCTGCTGCTGTCACCAGTGTGGCTGCTTGTATTTGCCCCTCTTTGGATCTGACCCACGAGGAGTCCTACAGTCCAGGTCCAGCTCAAGCACAAGGTGAGTTTGATACCCCTGTTCTGGAAGATGGAGCATGGGTTTGGGAGTCAGGCAAATTTTGAGGTCTCTCCTATTGCTTTATTTGAGATCTCCACTATTGCGTCATAGTTAGTACTCAGGCAAGTCTTTGTATTCCCATCTGAAAATAGGGATGATAATGCCCTCTCATATTGTGATAGAGATTCATTAATGTCTGTGATACTGCTGCATTGCTAATGGGTAAAGCTGTCCCTACTGGATACTTATCTATCTCCCATGTTTGCATTCTGTGAATGGGACCCATGTGATTTCGGGCTTCCCCTTTGGTTTCAGTAGGCTCCAAAGCTGTTTCTTGCTTTGACCACTCCAGCACATCTCCTGTCCATAGACTCTGGTGTCCCTTAAGGTAAATGAGACTTTATGACCCAGCATTAAAACACCCTGGGGAGGATGTTATTCCCTTACAACAGCCCAGTTGCTTAAGCACACTTTCCCAGATCTCCAACTTTCTGGGCACTCTAGCTTACCATTTTCCTCATCAGGAACATGAGCTAGCAGAAGTATATAACAGGTGGGTTTTGCAAAGGATTCTAATGCAGCTATCTTTACTTTAGTTTGCACAAGACAAAACAATAAAATACCTATACATCAACCAGTCTTGATTTCTTCATCAATCTTAAGCATTCTTTGGGGTTCAATTAGTCCTTTTTCCCTATGGCTTCTTCTTACAACATGGAATCTTCTATCATCGCTAGCTGGATTTCTGCTTCTGATCTGTTCTTATCTCCCAAAATGGCTATTGAAAGAACCATGTATCCAGGTTACAGCCATATTGGTCTAGAGGCAAAGGGAATCAGAACTCATGATAGAGGTGATATATGTTATTAGATCAACTAGATTTTTGCAAAAAAAAGTCTTTGATTGCAAGCTTTCAGGTACAAGCACCCTTCTTCAGGCATAGGAGAAAAGACTGTAAAAGTTCTCTTGGGTAGAAATAAAAGCTCATATTTCATAGGAGAGTTGAAGGTGTGGTAAAATCTCCTGTCTGACACAGTTCATTTTATGCGGATTCAGCTCAGAGAAAAGTTGGAATAGCCTGCTTACCAAAGTTGTTTGGTGGCAAGCAGGATGTAGTTATATTTCCTTCTGGTTATGGTGTTTCATATTCCACAGAGGAGTACGAAGATGTAATGCTGTTCTGGGCAGACATTGAGAGAGCCAATCATTTACAACCTCCTTTGTCACATGACCTCTTGATCAGCTTCATCAAATGATCAAAGTCCCCTACTAGATGATCTGTTGCCACATGGCGAACAAGACCTTCGGGGAACTGACAGCTCTTTTGTTCAAGGGTTGTTCCATCTGAATAAAGAACCATCAAATTCAACACCTCTGCATTTTCAGCCTATGTAACTACACCCTATTTTAGTCCACCATGAGCATAAACAGATACTAGAACACGTAAATAAGCTGCACATTGAAAAGGGAGTTTCCAAACAAGGCAGATATGTATACCAGAAGTTTAAGACTTCAAATATAAGCTGTACAGCTGTATAGCCAGTTTTTCCAAATTACCATACTACAGTGATGAAAGTGATAGAAAGATCACTTGGAAAGGAGTAATTCTATATCCATTCATAAGGCTTTGTGCCATAAATAAGGGAGAGAGAAACACCAAGTAAATGATAAGAATAAAAAACTTGAGCTCCATCTGTCCTGAGTACTATATAGCATAGGGGTCCTATAGAAAAAATAGTATGCAACCATTCAATTAGAAACTGAAACATGTATATGTACAAAGAGACCGGAGTTGTACAGGCATTTTCTAACTTTTGACTGCTTAACTTTGCAACCTTAACAGTCTTTTAATGTAGTTTCTGTTAATGTAGTATTTATACCAAAGTACAAAAAAATTACATGCAGATATCCCGTTACTAAGTGCAAGAAAGAAAGGCACTTCCTTAATCACAGGTATTAGTCAAAATGCATTGAAAGTAGATATACATATAGTTTTATTAATTACATTTTTTGAAGAATGCACTTTGTTAAATCTGTGATTGCACACAAGGAAGCTACATTATAAGCAGTCAAAAATAGGTTCTTAAAATGAGACATGTCAGGCAGCCTTAAGAGTGGGTAGCGCTGCCATTTTTTTTCTGTGAGTGGTGTCTTGTAAAAATCTAGGAGCAATATTGTCTTGCAAATTTCATAATAAAGTCATCTTCACATCTAGAGGATAAGAAATAATCAAATACATTTTAGAACATCAGAGACATTTTTCTTATTTTGTTATTTTTATGGAATCAAATTACTTTTGAATAGGTAAAGTGTGATTTTAATAAAAGTCCTTTCGATACCAAGTATACAGCATGACATACTTTAAAAAAAATCAAAATGAACATATTAGTGGGCATTTCACTTTAGCAACACTAGGAAATAACTATACAATATTAATGAAATAAATAATATTTAAAAGTACCAAATAGTTCCAGTGGGCGTTTTGGGTACCCTCAAATTCTTTTTTTTTTCTACAGACAGAATTAAATCAAATACAATTCACATGAATAGGTTATACCCACAGGGATGTTACCCCATATAGCTGATATTTATATTTACTAAGTCTTTTTTGAAGTTAGGAGTGAACTAATTTACCCATAGAATCTATTTAATAGTTGGAAGCATAAAGAAATAATAAACCCCTAATTACTGTCAATTCAAAGTGCAGTTGATAAATCTGTTATATCCAGAGAAAAGACGAGGAGAAAATAATTTTCATAAAACTAGGAAGACATTGAAGCCTGGGGGTGAAATTCTGGCCTCCAAGCCAATGGCAAAACAACAAACAACCCAATAACAAATTTGACTAGGACCAGGGTTTCTCCTATGGTATATTAGAGATGAGCCTTTTGCTCCCCAAGAAAGCTAAGACCTGGAGCGAAATTTTGCAGCTGAGGTGCCTCATTGATTTAAGTCAGTACTGTGTGTTGTGCCGTTATGTGGTGTCATCCATTTAAATCAATGGAACTCTACTGGTTCACAGCAGCCAAGGATTTGGCTCTATAAATGTTCACAGAAGCACTCATCTGTATGAGGAAATGAAGAAAAAGGACCTATGAAAATGTCTTTCATTTTCAAACCTGCTCTGTTGATTATTTTACAAACTCCGCTTACAAGTTCACTGCCAAGGGTTTGTGCTTACTTTGAGTAGCTTGAATCTGGAAAGGATACTGAACTAGACAAGAAACCTTCTAAAAATATGTTTTATAGTATAAGAGGACTTTTGTAGACTTTTGTCATCTCAAGGTTGTGTGTAGGAGAAAGTGTGGTAGAACAAACTTGAATGCTAACCTAGACTTAGTAAGAAGGTTCTTGGACTTTGTGGTTAGAGCTGGTCCTGGCATTTTCCAGAACTGTTAGATTATTATCTTTTTCTCTTTTTTTATTTTTTTTTATTTTTGTCAGGAAATGTCAAATCTGCAACTTTTCATAGAAACAACTTTTTTGATAAATGATTCATCAGGAAAGGTTTCTCAGGTCCTGTAGGAATTTCTGGTCAAAATGGTAGGAGAAGTGACCTATTCCAAATTAATAAACAAGTTAGTGGTTATAATATTCATGTGAGCTTTGGGAAGCTCACATTCAAATGCTTATCTTAGTGATTGGTTAAATATTTGTAATAATACAGAAAAGCTTCATACAAGAGACTGAGAGGGCACACTCAGATACAAGCAGTAGCCTGATGGGCATGTGCCTGAGACATGAGAGAATGGCAGAGGAGGTATTTGAACCTTAGCCTCCCACATGCTCTCACAAGCGGGCTCTTGGCTATATTGGAGTGGATAACATGCCTTCCGACTCTCTCATTTTTCACAAAACGTGGTGAAAGCTCTGGGTTTTGTTCTAATGCAGAAAATATTAAGGTTTTTGAAATTACAAGTTTCACAGGACAGAAAAATACTTCCTATTCAGTTCTACCCATGGTTACCAACCTCACATTTGATTCCTCAATGCATTTGCATGTTTAACCTTGCTGAGTATCTCAGCAGTATGCATGCTCTCTCTGCTCTGTCTCTAGTTTTGTGTGAGTGTGTCTGTGTGTAGGGCACTGTACAGTCCAGTCTGACACACTAATGCATATAGATATCCTTCTGCTTCTGACCTTACAAACTGTCCACTTCAGCACTGTCATTCTATAAATGTCCATCTGCAATCCAAGAAATGCATTTTAAATGTGGATGCAAACATTTCTATTACTGATAAAAACCAGCGCAGCATTTTTTTGCCTTGCGGGGATTAGAACTGTGATAGTTAAAGTTATAGGTCCAGTAATGACACTTCAAGGCCGTGTCCTTTCCTGACATGGAAAAGCAAGGAGAATCCTTTGCAAAGTTTCTGCTGATGAAGGAAAGAAGGGTAATTCTTCCCATTTGATAATGTATGTGGAAAGTGAGAGAATGTATGATGTGGCCCACATACCTAAGTCATGTGAGTTAGCTGAAATATAAATCCTGCAGCAGCTGAACTTTGCTGGTTTAATTAATGATGAAAGTCAGAACCTGCAAAACACTCTGTTTTAATAATTGTTCAAATTAATCCCTGCTTCTTAATGAACAATCCCCTTTCCTCATAGCTGGTAGCACAGGTGCAGTCCAATTAAGGATACCTAAGAAAGTGAGAAGAGAGCATAGTCTGGAGAAACGGGCACAAAAACAATTCTGCCTTCCAAGCCTGACACTGCAATCATTTGCTGTTTGACCTTGGAGAAGCCACTTCACCTCCCTATCTCAGTTTTCCCATATGTTGTATGGGGTAGTAATGCTCATCTACTTTAACAGGTTGTGATCAATAGAAATTAGCTAATACTTGTACAGTGCTTTGACCATGAAAAATGTATACAGTAGTTAATATATAGCACACTAATATATGGCCCTTCATCTGGTCCTCCCACAGAAATGTTCATCTCTTCATTCCAAAGCCTATAGTTTTCCCCTTCCTTCTACTCATGCCACTGCATCCTTATAATACTTGATAAAATATTTACTCTTAAGAAAAAGAGCATCTAAAAAGAGTGTGTAAACACTATCAGAATAACAGCCTAGAGTAATTGAAGAACCAAAGAGGAATTACTTAAAGAAACTATATATTTTCAAGTTGGCAAGGCCAGATGATTTGGCTGAGGTAATTGTAGAAGAATACGGGGAGAACATGAGTATATGGGGAGATCGCATGATCACAGGTGGTTGGAAAAGGGTAAATAAAGTGCGCATCTTTAAGAAGGGGAAGGAGGATCTGGGGCACCACAGACCAGTCAACCTCACCTCGATACCTGGGAAGATCATGGAGCAGGTCTTCGAGGAATCTCCTATGGAACACCTAGGCCAGATCTGCGTGAGATGCTGACTGCACAGCTGTTACTCCTCAGTCATTTAGTACTTGCATATCCAAGTACTAAATGACTGCACAATAATTAGTGTTACTGCACAGTAGCACCCCCACGTGGCTTCCTCATGATGCTGACTGCTCAGTAGCTTGTTACTAATGCACAGCCAGCATCTCATGTAGATGCGGCCCTAGAGAAGCACAAGGTGTTCGAGAACAGTTAGCATGGATTCACCAAGAGCAAGTCACGCCTGACCAACCTAACTTCCTAATTTCCAGAAGACAGGTTATGTGGAATGAGGAGAACAATTGATGGGATATACCTTGATTTTAGCAAGGTTTTTGACACTGTCTCCTACAACAGTCTAAGGAAATAGAGACCAGATGAAAGTACTGTAAGGTGGATTTCATAATGGATCAGATCATCAGGTTCAAAAAGTTCATGTATGGCCCTATGTCTACTTAGGAAGAGGTATCAAGTAGAGATCCCCAGGGTATGCCCTGGGTCCAGTGTTCCTTAATATCTTCATTAATGAGTTGGGTGATGGGATTGAGTGCACATTTAGCAAATTTTCAGATTACATGAAGTTGAGTTGCAGACATTTTGGAAGGTAGAGCTAAGATCAAGAATGACCTGAATAGACTGGAAAAATGGTCCACAGTGAATCAGATAAGATTCAACAAAGGACAAGTGCAAAGTCTTGCACTTGGAAGAGAATAATTACACACAAAAATGCAGACTGGGGAATGATGATCCAGGCTGCAGTATTGCAGAGAAAGACCTAGGGGTTACAGTGGACTAGAAGCTGCTAAAAAAGCCAATAGCACACTGGATTGTATACTGGAACATACTGAAGTCCCTCTTGTAAATCAAGGGAAGTGATTCTTCTGCTTTATTCAGCACTGGTGAAGTCTCCCCTGGAGTCCTGTGTCGAGTTTTGGACTCCACATTTCAAGAAGAACATGGATAGTTTGGAAAGAGTCCCTCAGGGATTGATAAAAATGAGGCCTGAGAAGTAAGATTTATGAGAATAAAGCTAAAAAGAAGCAGTTTACTTAGTCTGAAAAAGAGAAGACTGAGGGGCAGTTTCATAGCAATCTTCAAATACGTGAAAGGTGATTACAGAGAGGATGGAAATGGGCAGAACTTTCTGATGCCTCCTGTTTTGAGGGTGGTCAAGCACTGGAACAGGCTGCCTAGAGAAACTGTGGAATCTCCATCCATGGAAATTTTCAAGGTCAGGTTAGACAGAAACCTGGTTGGGATGGTTTAGTCAAGGATAAGCCTGCCTTGAACAGGGGGCTGGACTAAATGACCTTGTGACCAACCCTACTTTCCTATGATCTCCCTAGATAGAACTGGATGCTACTCTGTGATTAGCAAAAGCATGGATCTCAGCAGAGGTCCACCAGTCTTCCATATTTGAGGTCATATGGGTATCCCTTTTAATTTTCAGTCAGACATCCAAGTTTTCTGGACTTTCACTAAACAGTTTTTAAAAGCTAATTTTACATTGGATTGTAGTAAAATCCACACCATATTTTCCATTGATTTAGTAAAATATTTATTATTGAAATCAATAGGATTTGTACCCATTTATTCTGGAGATAAGTGTGGCCTTAAGATATCTTGAAAAATATTTCTCTGTGCACTTTATCTGAAGTTTGTTTTACATGCTGTAATACTTGCAAAAGAATCCTACCACCTTTCAGACAGAATATATCTATCATCTTATCTTTAGTTCAGTTTTACAGCATGTTGATATATTAGGAAATGGCATAGTGCTCTACACTCTGATTTCAAACACTGTGAAACCACAGGTTGAGAGGGAACAACTTACCTCTTCCATCTCCTAAGGTACTTCTATAGAGGTCAGCAGAGATTATTGTGTGTAGTTCTTTTAGATGAGACATCTCTATGAACTTTAAAAGCTCTGATGTGATGTGTTAAATAGATCCCTTTACATTAACTTATGGTCTTTACAGTATCATAAAGGGTGCTGATAGACATGCAGCTCCCTGCTGTAACTCATGGCGCTTTACAAAAAGTGCCATGAGTTATAGCAACCACCCCTTTCATCCTCCTGACCCAGTAGATGTTTGCTGTTGGGTCAGGAAAGTGGAGGCTCGAGCTCCACTTTAGAGACAATCCAGGAGGAGCTGCATGTCTGTAGCCTCTCTCCCTTAGCCCCGCACCCTCCCAGCATGCTGTCTTCAGGGGAGGGGGCGAAAGGGAGGGAAGGGAGTTTGGACTGCAGTTTACCCAGCCTACTCTGGAGTGCGGATGAGTGGATTGGACCCCTCCCTAGATGGCTCCAATCCAGCTACCCCCACTCCAGCGCAGGCTGGGCAAACCCCAGCCCAAGCTCCCTCGCTTCCCTTTTCCCCACTCCCATCGTGAGACAGCACCAGGGGCAGGGCTGGGCTGCATGAGACCAGCCTCAATCAGACAAAAGTTAATGAAGGCAATCAACTTTGGACCACCTTCATCTGAAACCTCATGTAATGAGGGTTAATTTATCATGCAATTGGGCACTTTTCAAGTGCTCTGCAGCTGTGCGCTTCTGTCAAGGCACAGCTGTAGAGTGCTTTCAAGGTGCAAATCGTGCAACAAATGTCACTTTTGTCAGCACCCAAAGTGACTGTAAACAAATTTAAGGGGCTCGAATGTGGAGGAGTTTATCAGTCCCATTCAAATTTGGCTCCCAGATCATTTACTTTTAGCAGTAAGTTTTGCCCAATTTTCTCAGACAAAATTACCACTTGCCCCACTATTTTGTCATGATGTTTAGTTATTATGAAGAAGTGGCTACATTTTAGTGTTCACTGGTGATGCACGTGTGTGTGTGTACATGTACTTACTGAGCCACATCCTGCAATAGCTGTTATAGATGCTCACGGTCACCTGCAGAAATGAGTCAATATTTTATGAAGCAGTTTGGGATTAAAAGTGCTATAGATATATAAAATAGTGGAGATTGTGGTAAACATATTTAAGGTATTTGATTCTTAGGGATGAATTTACGGAAAGCAGGCCACCTAGATTCGCATGCATTCATCTCTCTTCCTCTTGGTCTCTGTTTCAACACACATGCACATTGCTACAATTACTTATTACAATTACTTATAACAAGTAATTAATTATTATAGATACCTGTGTTACATGTAGATTTTCATCTCTTCTTTTGTTTCCTTTAGATTATTGGAACAATTCCACTGATGCCTAATCCAGTCCCATCCAACCAGGCACCAGGCGGAGCTCAGGGCCTTCAAGTGCAGCCAATTACTCCACAGTTATTGACCAATGCCCAGGGTCAAATCATTGCTACAGTCATTGGAAACCAGATACTACCAGTGATCAACACCCAGGGAATAACACTATCACCACTCAAACCAGGCCAACAGGTAAATTATCTCTCTTCTAAATTATTTAAAAAATAGTTGCAGTGAAGTAACCATCTGCTCATCCTTCTCTTCCACAGTCTTTTTGAAATCTCCCCCTTGTATTACCATTCAGTGTACTGCCATGAAAGATATATTTTAATCATTATTAGACCCATTCATCAGCTTATCCAGGTTATAAAAAAGAATTTGAGTGTTCGGTCTTGTTTTCCTTTCTTATAAGGCTTCAACTGGTAATATGTTATTTTGAAAGGAAAACTTTCCTAAAACTGAATAAAAAGGTCAGCAGGCTGCCTGTGCTTAGATTGCCCACTGGACTAGCGTGGCTGAGGTACTCGCACCACTTTCTTGTGTACCAACAGCACACAAGGGAGTGATACAGCTCCCATCACATCTGGCTCCCCTCCCCAAACAGCTATTTACTGAATGGAGTGACTTATTTTAAAAGTGCTTCCATAATGTAAGAGTGGAAGAATACAGCAAGGTCAATTTTATTATAAACAGAAAAAAGAATATTTTATTCATTAATCTTCTCCATTAGGGAAAATTAGAAACAGAGGTGTTTGTAAACACAGAAAAGCAAGGGAAAGGCCTTTGAGACAAATTGTCATTCAATTTAACGTACCATGCAATCCACAAATTTCCAGAGAGCTGTAGGAAAGGTTTCTACAGTTCATTAAATCCTTCACTATTGTCTAGTACAGTAAAGGTAATATTAATTAGTTCTTGCCATGTTTAGAAAGCAAAGACATGAAATGCCATCTGAGCTAAAACCTTTTCATCTGGAGAAGGAAAACCTAAGTGGAGAAAAAACAATGCAATGATGTTGAGGTGCAATTGTCAAAACAAAACACATTTTCAAAGGACTAGTCATTTGAATGGTCAAGTTGTTATTATTGGTACTGTTATTGATCATTTCTTTGTTTCCTAGCCATCAAAGTTATTCCCTTCTCTCCTCAAATCTTAGTTGGCTGCCCCCCCTCCTTTTTTTTGTTGAATTTCAGCATACAGTGAACTCTAGGGGTATGTCTACACTGAAGCAGTGGCACACTATGACAGAGGCAGCCTGAGGCATATCCTGTGCACCTACTCTTGCTCACATACCCCAAGCCCTGAATTGCACCACTGAGGCATCTCCAGGGCTGTCCCCAGTGGCCACCCTTAAGCATTCCAAAGGCCAAGCTCTCAAGAACAGTCCCAGAGCTAGTCAGTGGGAGCAGGTATATAGACTAGGCCTGTGTGAAGCGGCAAGTATTTGCTTTGGTTTCGGCCGATTTGGAGGACAGTGATTTGATTCAGAGACTCAAATCACTGTCCCAATTTGATTTGGCCAAATCAGATCCAAAAGATTTGGCGCCAGTTCAGAAATTCAGCCATAAACTAAACAGGCAGCTGACAAAGCTGCCTCCAGCTGGTAAGTCTGTTGGGGTTGCTGGAGGGGGGAGGGAAGAGGTGGAGGGAGGGAGAGATTGGGACTGGGGCTGGGACAAGCTGCCTAGCCAGGGCAGGGGGGTGCATTACTTGGGGGAGGGGGGAAGTGGGAGTGGGGCAGACACAGTGGGGAGGGCAGGATGTGGGTGCTACTTACTCCGGGAGGAAGGGGGCAAGTGGCAGCACGGCATAGTCCCCACTCCCAGTGCTGCCACACCCGTATCCCTTACGCTCTCCCCCAAGAGCAGAGATAGACCACTGTAGAGTGCTTTTGAAACTTGCCCCCCCTAAAGAACTTTGGACAGAGAGGTGTGTAAATATCACAGGCCATCTATGCCCTTCTACTGCAGAGCCTGAACATGGATTAGGAAATTCAGCAGTGGATTAGGAAACTTCCTTCTAGGAACATAGATTAGGAAACTTCCTTCTAATCAGTCTACCAAGGGGACAGAGATTCTCCCCATAACCCAACACCCTACTTAGGAGTAAGAGTCACAAAAGCCATTCTCTTCAGATCCCCTGTGAAATTCAGGAGTCTTAGGACAGCTATGGAATACAAGGGTCTTGGCAGAAGCCTAACAATACTAAATTCTGTTCACCTCCATGGCACTACAGCTCACTGCAAAGCCATACTCCCATAGGCCTCATCCTGACTGTTACAGACTATTCAAAATAGTGCTGCAAGTGGGGATTAGATTCAAGCTACTGAAATTATGGGACTGCATATGATGCTAGTCCCAGATATATACTTGAATAATGAAAATGAAACTTAAAAAGCAAATAAGTGGGTCCTCAAGTGGATTTTATTTTCAAAGGAGAAATACAGGTTTTTTAAGATTAAAGTTAAGCTTTACATAAGATCAGTTGCTCAGGACCCAGTCTTGTTTTTATTCAAACTCCTGAGTATCAGTAGGCCACCAAACGATTCCATTTAGAAATATCATCCTACCTTAAAATTATTATAATCTGGCAAAGAATATTGTCCTGAATTCAGACTTAAAAAAGAAAACAAGTACAAAATCAGCAGAATATGAAAAATACTATAAAATCTCTATTTTGAAAGGAGCTACAGAAAAATCTTTCTATGTGTTTGTGCTCCCTCTACTGGCTCTCAAGGTTTTAACTAAAGGTTGCCACTAAAGGCAGTGGGAGTTTTGCCATTGAATTCAAAATTGAGGGATAAGGACCCCCTGGTTCTGCATGGGGATGATACTGGTCCATAACTGAAAAAGCAAATGAGATGTAACCAGACTGATGGTTGGGTCATTTGAAAAGTGAATGAGATTAAACAAACCATAAATCAGTACTGAATGCATCCTATTGTCTACTACATTTAGAGTAACAAGTTTGACTAATCCTATGTTATCAGGCCTGACTTCTGGAAGAACTAAGTGTTAACAACTGCAGTACAAAAACTGAATATATTCACAGTCTTTGAAGATCAAGCCATACCATATTTGCAGGGTAATTTTCAAATTTCTTAAAAAGTATTGAGAAGGAAACAACAAACCAATCACCTTTTTTTTTTGAAGCCTAAAAGTATAAAAAAGGAATAAATGAAATAAAAGTGATCTAGTAAAATGCAGGGATTACAGTCAGTCTCGGTTCATCATGCAACTTTATCATCCTTTTGGAAATTCAGCAGTAAAAGGACTTTGCAGATTGTGTCAGGTACTTTTGTGCCCTATGCTGGGACTATATCCAGGTGATGGTTAACCCAATCAGTCTTGGTAATAGCTCTGAGGTTTCCTCTGACTTTTTCAGTAGACCAGTCATATAAATTACTTTGGCCCTCTGGATTTTCGCAATACATATATGAGCCCATTATGAACTGCAGTCAGGAACAGCCTTTTTTTACTTTCATTTTGAGATAAACAGAAGTCTCTTTTCCTAGAATATATGTGGGATTTTCATTCCCAACACACTGGTATCTCATTTGAGGACTGAATATTCATTACAAATCATGCGTAATAGTAAAATCTTTCATTGTTTTGCCATACACCAGAAATACCTTCTTTTCAGACATTTTCTGTTCTAAATGTTGTGTTAAAAATACTGGACCAAATTTGGATCTGTGGTAAATAATTTGTAGTGTAAGACAGTAGCACAGGGCTCAGTCATGCCATCACTGTATGTGCTTATATTGAAAGATAATAAATCTTCCTCTAAAGAGTCTACAGTCTAAATGGATAAGATAGACAAAGGATAAAAGAGAAAAAGTATTACCCCCTTCTACAGGAGGAAAATTGAGGAAGCAGATGTTCAAAAATATGAGAGATTCAAAAATGTTTCAGTGATTTGGAAGGAAAAATTGCATTAAAAATTCCCATTCTAAAAATCTTGCCCCAAAAAATAGAACTCAGGGACAGACCCAGGAATGGATCTAACGTGTGAGCCCAGTGCTGCACACAAATGTGGAGTTCCCTCAAATACACACCAGAATCTGGACTTTAAGTAGGCAGCCTCTGAAGGAGCTAGTTTGGGTCTCAGAAGGGGTATAGCTATATTAACACAGCAGTGCACCCAAGCAAATACGCTCTGTTTCACAGCCTGGGTAGAATGCCAAACTGAAATGACTATATATCTTCTAGTACTCAAAGTAACTAATTTAGAGCCTGCTTGTGTATCTTTGCATAGCAAAGACAACATACCCTTAATTGCTTTTGAAACTTTATCCTAAATGATTATCATGTCTGCTGAGGATGACAACTTATAGCCCTTGCACATTGTTTTTAGCCTAAGGCATCTACGGTTCTTTTTGGTTATTGATATGTATGTCTTGCCAAGCTCTTGGTTTCAATTATGTCATGCAGCAATAAATTCTACAGTTAACTATCTCTTGTGTAAAATTGTTTCCTTTTGCCAGTTCTAAAATGTTGCTTTTTAATTTCACTGGGGGGTCCTTTGTTCAATTATGAGAGAGAAAATAGCTTCCAGTTTATGTTCTTTAAACTACTTTTTTACATATGTATTTCTAGCAGGATATCGCCTATGCATTTCTTTTCTGAGCTCCATGCAGTAGTTGCAGTTTCAAAGTTTTTACCTTTTCAAAGATATTACCAGTCTAAGTGGCATTACGTATCCCTATAATGAGTACTCTACCAGTTCTGTAATAACTTGCCAAACAGGAAAAATATTTAAACTGTACTTATTATAGTCTTCATCTTCTTTAATCTTTCTTCATAAATAACGCTTGTGTATCTAATCATTTTCATTGCCCTTCTCTCAACCCTTTCGATTTCTACAATAACCTCTTGGAGATAGTGCGATCAGAACTGAATGCAGTAATCACGGGGAGGATGCATCTTCCATGTACATAATGGCATTATAATATTTTCAGTATTATTCTCTGTCCTTATCTTAATGCAACCTAACATCTTGCTTGCTTTTTTAACAACCATTGTTCATTCAGTAGGTGTTTTCAGTGAGTAGTCTGTGGTGACACACAGGTTTTTTCCTGATTGTTACATATAATTTAGAGCCGAGCAATATGTGAGAGTCGGTTAAATTATTCATTCTAATGTGCACCAACTTACACTTATCTACTTGGCATTCTGTCTGTCAGAAAGTTC